TCTCAAAAAAAAAAAAAAAAGAAATTTATATAATTTAAAGGATAAGACTTGGAAATATAGCTGCTGATAAATTCTAAATCTTTCTTTTTTATTGGTGTCCACGATTAGATCCCTGAATATTGCCGAGCCTTAGAAGAGAATGAAATATCTGAGCACTGTTTTGATTTGATTTTTGCTTTTGATGAAATTGTTGCCCTGGGATACCGGGAGAATGTTAACTTGGCACAGATCAGAACCTTCACAGAAATGGATTCTCATGAGGAGAAGGTGTTCAGAGCCGTCAGAGAGGTAAATAGGATCTTCTCTGGGACTATCTGTTTGTGTATCTTCCTCTTAGGCTTCACTAATCTGATTTTCCAATTTTTACTTGCTAATGTATAGACTGTATTCAAAGCTACATCCAGGCTGGGCACAGTGGCTCATGCCTATAATCCCAGCACTTTGGGAGGCAGAGGTGGAAGGATCACTTGAGTCCAGGAGTTCAAGACCAGCCTGGACAGCATAGTGAGACCCTGTCTCTAGAAAAAAAAAAAAATTAGCCAGACACAGTAGCACGTGCCTGTGGGTCCCAGCTACTTGGGAGACTGACATGGGAGGATCACTTGAGGCCAGGAAGTTGGGGCTGCAGTGAGCCGTGATCGTGCCACTTGCACTCCAGCCTCGGTCACAGAGTGAGACCCTGTCTCAAAAAAAAAAAAAAAAAAAACCAGCTACATTCATGTATGTCTTTTTCTGTAGACTCAAGAACGTGAAGCTAAGGCTGAGATGCGTCGTAAAGCAAAGGAATTACAACAGGCCCGAAGAGATGCAGAGAGACAGGGCAAAAAAGCACCAGGATTTGGCGGATTTGGCAGCTCTGCAGTATCTGGAGGCAGCACAGCTGCCATGATCACAGAAACCATCATTGAAAGTGATAAACCAAAAGTGGCACCTGCACCAGCCAGGTATAATCCATTGTACTTTAGAATGCCAGATGACGGGTGTATATGTGTCTATCTTTGAAGTGATAATCTGATTTCTTGGAAAGCTGTAAATAATGAAGGACTTGATGAAGTAAGATATGATGTTAAATTTGGCCACATAAAATGTGAGGATAAAGAAGAAATCTGAATGTGATGTTTTTCCTTTTGTATAAAAGAGAGTTATAAATTATGTCATGACCTCAATTTCCTATGAGAGTTGCCTTATTGTGGGAGAGAAAGGGATATTTAATGCTTTATGGAATGTAGATTTTTAATCTTGATGTTCAAAGATTGATTTTAGGGGTAATCTGTGAATTACCCGAAATTATATGCAAAATTTTGTGCACAGGTATGTTTCTCTGGATGGAAGATACAAAGTTTTCATCAGATCATGTGTGCTTGTAAAAATATACCTTTGGGTAATGAATTTCAAATTTTTCCACTTAGGCCTTCAGGCCCCAGCAAGGCTTTGAAACTTGGAGCCAAAGGAAAGGAAGTAGATAACTTTGTGGACAAATTGAAATCTGAAGGTGAAACCATCATGTCCTCCAGTATGGGCAAGCGTACTTCTGAAGCTACCAAAGTACATGCTCCACCTATTAATATGGAAAGGTAAGTAGGAACTTTGAGTAAGAATTCAAGCTTTGAATACAGTCCACATAATTTTAAAAAAATCTTATTTCAGTGTGCTATGAATTCTTTTTCTGTCTTATAATCTTTCCTGATTTAAAAGATTTATTCAGAGCATATTCTATGTATTAACATAAGGTCGTTTTTGGTTTTGTTTTGTTTTATTTTTTTGAGACAGAGTCTTACTATGTTGTCTAGGCTGGCCTCCAACTCCTGAGCTCAGTTAATCTTCCTGCCTCAGCCTCCCAAGTAACTGGGATACAGGCATGCATTGCTGCACCTGACCTTTTTTTTTCCTTAAACCCTGATTGGTGGGCCCTCAGCCACCTATTTTCTATGAAGTTTAGAACTTTCCTTTTACAGCTAAATTAAAGTTACTCATAGTCACACCTAGTGTGTAGCTTATCTCTTAGAATGGACCTGAATTAGGGGACTAGAGCTATAGTGACCCCAGACTGTATTTTGACATGACTTTTTGTAATTAAAAACTCTTAAGTAGAACTAATCTTTAATCCAAAACTTGTAGATATCTTTAATAGCAAATTAATATATTTTGCATTTTTATTTTATTTATTTATTTTTTTGAGATGGAGTTTCACTCTGTCACTCAGGCTGGAGTGCAGTGGTGCAATCTCGGCTTGCTGCAAGCTCTACCTCCCAGGCTCAAGTGATTCTCCCACCTCAGCCTCCCAGGTAGCTGGGACTGCAGGCATGCACCACCATGCTGGGCTAATTTTTGTATTTTGGTAGAGATGGGGTTTCGCCTTGTTGCCCAGGCTAGTCTCGAACTCCTGGACTCAAGCAGTCTGCCTGCCTCGGCCTCACAAAGTGCTGGGATTACAGGCCTGAGCCACCATGCCCAGCCATCTTTTGCAGTTCAAATATTTGAAGCCGGTATGGAATATTTTGATTCATCTCTATCTCAGGACTGTGGTACTAGCTTTTTTAAGTGGTAGTTATCAAGTTCACATATTCATGACTCAGATTTCTCATCTTGAAGTCAGACCTTCTACTGTTGCTGATGGTTTTGAGGTCAAGTGAAAGATAATACCAGGAGGATACCTCTATCAGGTGTGCATAAAAGAGGAGTATTTACTCTTTTTCTTTCTTGCTTTTTTTTTTTTTTTTTTTTTTTGGAGACAGAGTCTTTCTCTGTCTCTCAGACTGAAGTGCAATGGCACGATCTTGACTTACTGCAACCTCTACCTCCTGGGGTCAAGCAATTCTCCTGCCTCAGCCTCCCAAGTGGCTGGGATTACAGGGGCACACCATCACGCCTGGCTAATTTTCTTATTTTTAGTAGAGATGGGGTTTTGCCGTGTTGGCTAGGCTGGTCTCGAACTCCTGACCTCAAGTGATCCGCCTGCCTCCACCTCCCAAAAGTGCTCGGATTATAGGCATGAGCCACCACGCTCAGCCAAGTATTTACTCTTTATATGCCCTGTTCTGTATGAAATGAACAGGGTTACACTGGGATAAATTTCTTGATTCACTAAAGCCGCTGTGCTCTTCCTAGTGGTTGCTTTGAGTGAGACAGGCTTCACACTTTTAAAAAGATGTTCCTGAGTGCAGTGGCCCACGCCTGTAATCCTAGCACTTTGGGAGGCTGAGGTGGGCAGATTGCCTGAGCCCAGGAGTTCATGAGACTGCCCTGGGCATCATGGTGAAAACCCGTCTCCACTAAAATACAAAAAATTAACCCCTTCTCCATGAAAATACCAAAAATTAGGTGGGTGTGGTGGCGCATGCCTGTAGTCCCAGCTACTCAGGAGGCTGAGGCAAGAGAATTGCTTGAACCTGGGAAGCAGAGGTTGCGGTGAGCCAAGTGACTGCACTCCAGCCTGGGCGACAGAGTGAGACTCTGTCTCCAAAAAAAAAAAAAAGATGTTGGAGATCACATATTACAGAAAATTTGAGACACTCTTTTTTCTAAATGATAAAATGCCTCTTGAGCACAGAGCAAACTTTTTTGAAGGTAAAATGGTGCCATGCATTGTCTTAAGATACACTCCTTTATGATCTTGACTCTGATGCCTTTGTTTCTAGGAAGACCTAAGAGGTTGGAACAGGGAACAGGGTAGGATAACAAAATATTCTTTGTAGCCTCTGTAGTTCATCCAACCAAACATATTTCTATTACTGAATATGAATAGATTGTACTTAGTGATTGCCTGTAACAGCAGCACTTTTTAATCTTTTTAAAATTGGATTGTACTTTAATACAGTATAAAATTCAAAAGTTGTTAACAGTCAGAAGTCTTTCTCTCACGCAGCCATGCCAGTTTCTCATTTTGGAGACAACTAGTGTTAACAGAGTTTTTTTGGTATCCTTCTGAGGGGGGTGGTCTGTGATATATAGATTAATAAAAAACATGTGTATACAGTGTGTCTATTTTTCCCCCTTTTATGCAAAGCAGTAAAACTAGACACATCTTCCAGTTGCATTTTTCACTTAATTATTTTGGAGATAAGAATTTCTTTATTTGAAACTAGGGTAAATGCAGTAACTTACCTAGACTGGATCCTCTACTACTGTAGTGTAGAAAAAACAACTCAAACTGTTTCTTTTTTTCTATTTTCTCATTCAACAGCAACAATCAACACAGAAGACTTCTGTTATCCAGTGTGTTTAGGTTTTTCTGCACACATCAAGCAGTCACACCCAGCTGGTGTCCTCCCATTCAGTTCAATTCTGATGCTATCTACCTGGGAATAGCCTCAGATTCTACAGGTTGAGAGTTCAGTCCCCCAAGACTGATTCTTCCTTCCCACCAGTCATAAGTCCAGGCTTAGGCCGGGCGTGGTGGCTCAAGCCTGTAATCCCAGCACTTTGGGAGGCCGAGATGGGCGGATCACGAGGTCAGGAGATCGAGACCATCCTGGCTAACACGGTGAAACCCCGTCTCTACTAAAAAATACAAAAAACTAGCCGGGCGCGGTGGCGGGCGCCTGTAGTCCCAACTACTCGGGAGGCTGAGGCAGGAGAATGGCGTGCACCCGGGAGGCGGAGCTTGCAGTGAGCTGAGATCCGGCCACTGCACTCCAGCCTGGGCGGCCGAGCGAGACTCTGTCTCAAAAAAAAAAAAAAAAAAAAGTCCAGGCTTTCAGAACTTCTTACTGACCTCAAGTTTGGCCTCCCACGACCCCGTCTTTGGGTTCAATTAATTTGCTAGAGCACCCCACAGAACTCAGGGAAACTTACTTGACATTTATCAATTTGTTACAGAGGATATTTTAAAGGACACAAATAAGCAGCCAGATGAAGAGATATACATAGGGCAAGGTCTGGGAGGGTCTTGGGTGCAGGAGCTTCTGTCCCCAGGGAGCAGGGGTACACCACTCTCTTGGAAAATGGATGAGACCTTGTTAATCTTCCTGTAAGCCTCCATGTGTTCAGCCGTCCAGAAGCTTACCAGACCCTGTCCTCTTGAGCCTTTTATGGAGACTTCATTGGATAGGCATAATTGACAGGTGTGCAGAAATGTGACTGGACAAAGGGTATGACCTAATACTGATTGGCTGAGTGGGGAAACCCAGCAAGGCCTGTCCACTCTGTGCAACATTAATCTTCCTCCAGGATATGGTGCAGGACCCCTTTTGGAGATTAGAGTCCTGCCTTGGGTGGGTGAAAGGAGGGCAGGAGAAGGTCAAAGAGAGATTCTGTTTTCTGAGGGCTGCTCCTGAGGCCTAAAGTGCCCCAACATTATGTATAATAAGGGATATGGGAGTTATGAGCCACGAACCATGGATGAAAACCAGTACATATGTATATCATAATATCACAACTACTATTAAAAATATTATTAGGTCAACTGATGAAATTGACATATGATTGATAGATTGGATACAATTATTATATCAGTGTTAGCCTGGCATGATCGCACATGGCTATAGTCCTTGCTACTCAGGAGGCCGAGATAGGAGGATTGCTTGAGACCAGGAGTTCAAGGTTATAGTGAACTGTGATTGTGCCTCTGAATAGCCACTGCACTCCAGCCTGGGCAACATAGCAAGATCTATCTCTTAAACAACAACAGGCTGGGGGCGGTGGCTCACATCTGTAATCCCAGCACTTTGGAAGGCCCGGCCGGGCAGATCACCTGAGGTCAGGAGTTCAAGACCAGCCTGGCCAATATGGTAAAACCCTGACTCTACTAAAAATACAAAATTGAACCGGGTGTGGTGGCAGGCGCCTGAAATCCCAGCTATGCAGGAGACTGAGACAGGAGAATCACTTGAACCCGGGAGGCAGAGGTTGCAGTGAGCCGAGATTGCACCATTGCACTCCAGCCGTGCAACAAGAGTGAAACTCCATCTCAAAACAACAACAAAAAGCTAAAAACAAAAGTATCAGTGTAAATTTGTGTAGTTAATAATGGTACTGTGATTGATTATGTAACAGAATATCCCTAATCTTATAAAAATAAGCACTGAAGTATTTAGGGGCAAAGTGCCGTGATGTATATAATCTGCTTCTTAATGGTTCAGGGGAAAAAAATCAAATGTATAACATACATATATAATGTTTAGAGAGAGAGAGACACATATGCAAATTATAAAACAAATGGGGTAAATGTTAACAATAGGTGAATCTGGAAAAGGGTATATATGTCTTCCTTGTATAATTTTAATTTTTTTAAGCTTGAAAATATTTTCAAATAGAACATTTTTTCAGTTGTTTTCTCACCATTGCCTACTATTCATTTGGGTGAATATTCCTTTATTTTTTATTTTCTATGTTTTTTTGAGGTGGAGTCTTGCTCTGTTGCCCAGGTTGGAGTGCAGTGTCGTGATCTCAGCTCACTGCAAGCTCCACCTCCTGAGTTCACGTCATTCTCCTGCCTCAGCTTCCTGAGTTGCTGGGACTACAGGTGCCCATCACCACACCCGGCTAATTTTGTTTTTGTATTTTTAGTAGAGATGGGGTTTCACCGTGTTAGCCAGGATGGTCTCGATCTCCTGACCTCATGATCCGCCCACCTTGGCCTCCCAAAGTGCTGGGATTACAGGTGTGTGCCACTGCGCCCGTGGATATGCCTTTATTTAAGCAGCCCCCAGTGGCAGACATTCGTTTCTAAACTTTGCCATTAAAAACAATTCTTCAGTGAATAACTTAGCAGATTGTTTTGCACAGATTAGAATGTGTCTGTTGAATTGCTGTATCAAAGGGGTATCGTCTTTTGAATGTTTATAGCTATAGCAGTAGCACCTTTAAAAAAACGTTGTTGATGGCTAATCATTAGACCTTGGAGAAAGGGATTTCTGGTTTCTACCTTTCTTTTTTCTTTTGTTTTGTTTTGTTTTTGAGATGGAGTTTCACTCTTGTTGCCCAGGCTGGAGTGCAATGGGACAATCTCGGCTCACCGCAACCCCTGCCTCCTGGTTCAAGGATTCTCCTGCCTCAGCCTCCCAAGTAGCTGGGGCTACAGGCATGCACCACCACGCCTGGCTAATTTTGTATTTTTAGTAGAGATGCGGTTTCTCCATGTTGGTCAGGCTAATCTCGAACTCCCGACCTCAGGTGATCTGCCCACCTCGGCCTCCCAAAGTGCTGGGATTATAGGCATGAGCCACTGTGCCCGGCCATTGGTTTCTACCTTTCTGAACAAATGTATTACTTTCTCTTTGTAGTGTACATATGAAGATTGAAGAAAAGATCACATTAACCTGTGGACGAGACGGAGGATTACAGAATATGGAGTTGCATGGCATGATCATGCTTAGGATCTCAGATGACAAATATGGCCGAATTCGTCTTCATGTGGAAAATGAAGATAAGAAAGGGGTGCAGCTACAGGTGTGTAGAAGCTTTTGATAGGGAGTGTTAACACTTTGTCTACCTATTATAGTCTTTGTCAACTAGAGTTCCCAGTATGAACCACAGAAAATTATTTAAGTTATATAACTAGCATCACTCTAAATGCATAGGAAAGAAGTTGATTTATTGCATACAGTAGCTACCTGAGAGTGAGTAAAGCAGCTGTGTTAGGATGGCTTTTAAATATTGGAACTGAATAAAAGGTCATTTTGAAATCTAATAAATGACTTCATACTCACTAGCAAAAGGTACAAAGAGATGTTTATTTTTTGCTGTTATGAAAACAGTAAATTAATCACTTAGGATCTTGCTTGAAATATAGTTTTTAAAAAAACAAGGCTTTAAGACAAGTGTGGTGGCTCACGCCTATAATACCAACACTTTGAGAGGCTGAGGCCAAAGGATCGCTTGAGCCCAGGAGTTCAAGAACAGCCTGAGCAATGAGGGCTGAGCAACAAGACCCTGTCTCTACAAAAACTTAAAAAATTAGCCAGGCATGGTGGCACAATGCGAAATTTACTCATTCTGCTATTAAACTACCAGTGCTTGTTTTGTTAACTGAAGGGCAGTATCTAATGATGTATTTGAAAAGTACATAAAATCCTTTCAGTATAAGTGTGTGTGTTCCAACTATTGGATAGAGATATATATAAGCCCTTCTTTATATTACAGGTGGTCTTGTCACATTTCATTTAGCTTAACATCTCGTCACAAGAACAAAGCCTTTTTAGGGAAGAGTGTTTTTGTCTACTTTCCCTCCCGTAGTCAGCACAGAATTGTCTTTTAGAAGCAGTGCTTATATTATTTGACAACATTTTTGCTGGCTTGTAAAGTGCTATCCAAAAGTGATTTCTGTTTTTTTTTTGTTGTTGTTGTTGTTGTTTCCTGAGATGGAGTCTCTCTCGGTCGCCCAGGTTGGAGTGCAGTAGTACGATCTTGGTTCACTGCAACCTCTGCCTCCCGGGTTCAAGCAGTTCTCCTGTCTCAGCCTCCTAAGTAGCTGGGATTACAGGCACCTGCCACCACGCCCAGCTAATTTTTTTTATTTTTAGTAGAGACGGGGTTTCACCATGTTGGCCAGGCTGGTCTCAAACTCTTGACCTCGTGATTCGCCCACGTCATCATCCCAAAGTGTTGGGATTATAGGCATGAGCCACCATGCCCAGCCCTTCTGGGTATTTTTGTTTTTGTTTTTGTTTTTGTTTTGTTTTGTTTTTTTGACACAGAGTCTCTCTCTGTGATGCAGACTGGAGTGCAGCGGCACAGCCTTGGCTCGCTGCAGCCTCAACCTCCTGGGCTCAAGCAATCCTTCCCTCCTCAGCCTCCATAGTAGTTGGGACTATAGGTGTGCACCACCACACCCAGCTATTTATTCATTTATTTATTTATTTATTTATTTATTTATTTATGTATTTATGTATTTATTGAGACGGAGTTTCACTCTTCTTGCCTAGGCTGGAGTGCAATGGTGTGATCTCGGCTCACTGCAACCTCTGCCTCCCGGGTTCAAGCCATTCTTCTGCCTCAGCCTCTCAGATAGCTGGGATTACAGGCATGTGCCATCATGTCCGGCCCCAGCTAACTTTTGTATTTTTAGTAGAGATGGGGTTTTGCCATGTTGGCCAGGCTGATGTCAAACTCCTGACCTCCAATGCCCCGCCCACCTCAACCTCCGCAAAAACAATTTCTTTTAAAAAGATAAGACTATCTTAATTGGCTTGGATTTTAACAACTTTAAGTCTCTAGGCAAAATTGCAACTAGACTTTACACAGAGCTTGCCCTTTTCTGCTACTTTATATAAGGCCAAAAATGCTATTTGACCCAGGCAGCTGATCAGGGTCTTACTAGAACCTTCTGCTTGGCAAACCTGGCCCCACCATGAACCTGCTCCATGTGAAGTATTTTTGGAAAGGACTTGGTTAATGGTCTTTTAACTTTTTCAGGTGCAAACTTGTTCTATAATGGCTTTTAGAGTTGAAATTATTATTTTTTTTTAATTACTGGTTTTTAAATATCTTAAATTATTTTAAAAGTCTTTGAAGAAGGGAAATCTTTCTTTAAAATGAAAAAGAATTGGAATTTATTAGGTACTCTATTTTAGATGTTTGGATTATGGGTCATATAAGCCTAGAGAGGGGTTGTTTCTTGTCTGTCTGAACCTCAGGAGTTTTCCTTTCCTTCTCATTCTAGACCCATCCAAATGTGGATAAAAAACTTTTCACTGCAGAGTCTCTAATTGGCCTGAAGAATCCAGAGAAGTCATTTCCAGTCAACAGTGACGTAGGGGTGCTAAAGTGGAGACTACAAACCACAGAGGAATCTTTTATTCCACTGACAAGTAAGTGCCTCTGGCCAGTCCCACTAAGCTAGTTTGCATTGAGAACTGGAAATAGCCCTTGCTTGTACACTTTTATTTTTATTGCCATAGCAAAGTTCTTTTTGACAAAATGACTTTCTTTTGAAATGGACCTGGTGCTGCATTTTGTATATTTTTATCATTAGTTTTCATTTTTACTAGCTTTTATTTTGAAACCATTGTGGTTTTGTTGTTGTTATTGTTTTAGAGACAAGGTCATCTTCTGTTGCCCAGGCTAGAGTACAGTGGAGCGATCATAGCTCACTGCAGCATCAAACTCCTGGACTCAAGCCATCCTCCTGCCTCAGCCTCTTGAGTAGCTGGGACTAGGACTACAGGCACATGCCACCACATCCAGCTAATTTTTTTTTAAAAGACACAGACTCCCTCTGTCTGTCACCCAGGCTGGAATGCAGTGGTGTGATCATGGCTCATTACAATTCCTGGGCTCAGCTGATCTCCCACCTCAGCCTCCTGAGTAGCTAGGAGAACAGGGAAGTGCCACCCCTGGCTTTTTTTTTTTTTTTTTTTTTGGAGAAGTGGAGTCTCACTTTGTTGCCTAGGCTGGTCTTGAACTCATGGCCTCAACCAATCCTCCCACCTCGATACTACCACCTTGGTTGTCTAAAGCGCTGGGATTATAGGCATGAGCCACCACACCCAGCCATCTTTTTCTAATATTCTAGTATGACTGCTTTGCTTTCTTCTCAGTTAATTGCTGGCCCTCGGAGAGTGGAAATGGCTGTGATGTCAATATAGAATATGAGCTACAAGAAGATAATTTAGAACTGAATGACGTGATTATCACCATCCCACTCCCGTAAGTGCTGTGCCCGTGTCCCCTATGTTGGACTTACAGAACTGGTCTTTTGGAACTCATTTTGGAGTCAGCACCTACCTGACCTGACGGTCCATTCAGAGATAGTTGATTCTTAAAAAAGCTAGTTGTGAAAGAAGCCAGATATAAAAGGCTGCATGTTATGTGATTCCAGTTCTTTGACTTTCTGGAAAAGGTAATACTATTGAATAAAAATGAGGAGGTAGAGAAGAAGGTACTTCACTTCAGAGGGGCACAAGGGAACTTTTGGGAATGATAGGAATGTTCTAGGACTTGTGTTTGCTTTGGCAGCACAGGTACTAAAATTGGAACCAGAGAAGATTAGCATGGCCCGTGTGCAAGGCTGACATACAACTTTATGAAACATTTCATGGCCGGGCGCTGTGGCTCAAGCCTGTAATCCCAGCACTG